ACACACACACACAGACACACACACACAGACACACACACACAGACACACACACACAGACGCACACACAGATTTGTGTGTATTGTTGTGTTGATGTCCTTCAAAGTTGATGAGTGAACGAGGTGGTAAAAGTACACGTTCTGTACTCAAGTATTAGTACAAATACTCCTGTTTAAAACTACTCCAGTAAAGCTGAAGTACTGAGTCTGTACTCGAGTAAAATTGAAGCGTTACCTGAAGAGTACTCAGAGTACAAAGAACAGCTCTGTTTGTGCAAAGCTAACTGAACCTTGTGTTATCTGAATGTTGTAATACAATAATATCAGCAGACAGGATATAGATGAATCTATTTCCTGTTGCCTGCATGTGGAGGGTGACTCAGTCATGAGCTCAGTCAGGGTTACACACCACCTCCTGAATCCACCGTGTGTGGGGGGGTGGGGGATGTGACACTGCGATGCTCCCACACCAATCAAACTCAGTCATTTCTACTGAGAGCTGCACTACGTTTCCTTGGTGTGCAGGCTGTGATCAGCTGACCTGCTGCTCTCTGTGCTTGTACACAACAGATGTGAGCAGATGTTTGATGAGTGTCCTGGCTGATTATTCTCCTGTCTCCATCTCTGAGTGAACTTAGCTCTCTGTCTCTCCTCTCCCTGTCACACACAGCAGCTGGACTTTATCTGCAACACACTGTGAGACAAACTGCACACAACAGTTTGTGTGTTTGCTGATGTTTGTAGAGCTGCCTTGCACATTTCCCCACGTCACTGCCTTTGCGCTCGCTCCTCTTCAGTCGGGCTAGCTGGATGCTGATGTACCGCAAGCGCGTCTGTAACCGGAAGGTCGCCGGTTCAATCCCCAGGCTCTCTGTCCTGGTCGTTGTGTCCTTGGGCAAGACTCTTTACCGTGTTGCCAGAGGGGCCGATGGTGCGATATGGCAGCCTCGCTTCTGTCAGTCTCCCCCAGGTCAGCTGTGGCTGCAACCGTAGCTGCCTCCACCAGTGTGTGAATGTGAGAGTGAATGAATAGTGGTATTGTAAAGCGCTTTGGGTGCCTTGAAAAGTGCTATATAAATGCAATCCATTATTAGTAATCCATTAACTGCAGCTTCCAGTCCTGCAGTCGTTGCAGCGTGGTGCCGAACGTGCTCACGTTCAGCCCTGAATATGGAGATTATACAGAACAGGAGGCTGTGACTAAATATTAGCTCCCCTCGAATCAAACCAAGTTTTGAAGTAAAATGTTCCTAAAAAATAAATATTCAAGTAAAGTACAGATGCCTGAAAATTCTACTTAAGTAGAGAAACACAGTATTTGTACTGTGTTACCTCTTGCCTGTGCAGAGTGAGCATGCTCAGTCCACAGCGACGCGTCCTTCAGTTCGACACGTTCTCAGGTGCGTGTCACACCCATGCCTATGCTACAGCTCACTTTATCAGGTACAGCTTGCTGGGACCGGGCTGACCCACGTTTTCCTTCAGGTCTGCTGCTTGGTGCTGGGAAACAAATCGCTGTGTGAGAAACGCTTTCTCTGTCGTGTCCCAACAAGTCAGCAGTTTGTGAAACGCTCAGATCAACAACCGTGTTCAGTCATCTTTCTTCCCAATTATGATGCAAACCCGCAGAAGTGGTTTCACAGCCAGTGAACGTGGATCAGATCTGCTGTCCAAGTTTTAAAACGGGGATGAAAACTTTGAATTGATCAGAGTTGAAGTCATTTGAGTGAAAAGTTTTAATGGCTTTAGTGCTGAAACACGTCTGAACTGTTCTGAAAGCTGCAGTGTGCTGAGAATGAGATAAAGAGATGTGATAAACATGTGTTCGGGAGTCGGGAAGCTGGTGGAGCGAGGCCAGAAAATCCCGATGTGTGTTTCAGGATGACATGAAATCTGCCCGCAGCAGGAATCTGACGTCACTTCAGGAGAAACGCTGGTCCTTGGAAAGGCTGTGGAGCGCGTGGGAGACCGAGTGAGTCAGAGCCGCACAAACATGCTGTTATCCTTTAATCTCCTCTTTGTGCTGCTGCACTTTCTGTTTCAAGCAGCGCACACACATTCATAGACTTCCTGCCCCCCCCGCGCTGTGATTACAGCCTGAGACCTGGAATCTGACCAAATCCTTTTCTGACTGAGTTTCTTGGTTTTCTATTTCTGTTGCATTTTATTTGAAATTCTTGCTTCACATTTCTGAGATGAAGGAAATATTTGTGTGTTGTTTTTATGGAGGAGTGTGTTTGCATGAAGGGGAGGGTCTTCATCACAGCGAGGGGAGGATAAACCAGTGTGTGTGTGTGTCAACATTATAAGGAATGTGTGCGCGTACAGTGGTTCAGACTCACTGAGGATGATGATGACAGGCTGTGGTTCCCCTGATGATTCCTGAGAACAGTCGTCTCTTCTCATCACGGATCCAGAAAATTCTTTTACATTCAAATCTTTAATAGAAGAAAATAATCCATCGTGCACAGAAACTCGGTTTATAAGACAAACATCTCTCAAAGCTGAAAACCTGCCGCTGTTAACATCCCAGCCCTCCGTGGGAGCACATGGACATATATTTTTATCTATATATTTCTTCTACGTGTATATTTTTATATTTTCTTCTGTTTTTGGACATGAATGTTCCATCTATGTGTTTATTGCTGCCTGGCTCCTTTGCTGCTGGAACA